CACCATGTCTAAAACCAAGCTGAACTGAAGTAAATAAAGGGAGTAATGTCCACCTCATATTGGTATCTGTCCTGTGTTTAAGTTGCTCAGCAGGCTGTATTGATATGCATTAATTAAATGGCACAGCTGTTGTGTTGAGCTGAGCGTGCCGATAGCACAGATTTTTTCAGTGTATTTGTTATAAATAGAAGTGCTAATTATATCACTGGCTTGACTTTACTGTAAAAAACAGAGGGCGTGCAAGTGAGACTGAGTGTGATGGCAGGAAGTATTGAGAGCTAGTGAGTGATTGTTGGAATTGGACTGGCTGCAGTTCAGCAAACTGTATGGTGATGGGCTAGGGTTAGGGTTAGAGTGCCGCCCGTAGTCATTCGAAAGTATGGATACTGTGTCTTTATATTTGGTTTAGTATTGGTTTGCTTAATCAGGTATTCAAATAAGGTGTAGTACGGAACAAGAAATGCGTGGATTTTTAAAATACCTTTTAGAAGTCAAATCAAATTTGCACTTTTTTCTCTTGGAAGTTCATGGATCTAATTATATTAAGCATGATTCACCATAATATATCATGTAAAGGACAAGTTTATTGTTTTCCTATTATCTTCCATCGTGTAATGTAAGGACTTCTGGCTGCCTCAGAATATCATCTGATTTTTTAACACAATATTAAACAATAATATCATGTTTAACCACCAACCCTCAAAAGAAGCTCAGAGACCCTCTGTGTGTTTCACTCAGAAATACATCATGTATATACACACACACACACACACACATCAAGTATCTCTATTTTTTATGATTCTTACTTTTCTACATCATTGCATTGTTCTTTGAATTGTCTGAAAATTTAATGATGACTGGACCAATAGAAATGCTTCAAAACTGCTTTGAATAAGATCTCTACATTAACTTACAGTGAAAATAAACGTTTTTGCCCTCTCCTGTAGATTACTATTTTGGAGATACATTTTTTTTTCTTTGGACAGTGATGTTTATACATTTATATATATATATATATATATATATATATATATATATATATATATATATATATATATATATATATAGTATAAATACAATTGTAATTCCCTTGTAATTAGTGAATTCAGCTACTTTAAGTTGCACCTACAGCTGATAAAGGTGCTCAGTTGCGTACACCTTGTATAATCCCCATAGAAAAGCACTGCCAATAGAATAGGACCCTCTGGAGGAGCCATTCATGCCAAGTGTCTTGGCACTTGGCTGTGGAGCAGTGGAAGCACATTCTCTAGAATGAATGAGCTCCATCCAGTAACTCTAGGATGAGTTGGAGTGGCATTTGTGATCCAAAATGAATCATCCAATATGAGTACCTGACCTCACTGATGGTTGAAAGCAATCAAATCCTCACGGCAATCTTCCCACAACCAGAGTAAAGCTTACTGTTACTGTTGCAAAAAGGGGACCCACTTCCAATACCTTTTATTTTAGAAGAATGAGCAGGTGTCTACAAACCTTTAGACAAATAGTGTATGTTAAATCACGCAACACAAAGATAAACCGCTAAATCAAGGGAAAGATCAAGTATGGATGACCTCTTCTTCTACCTGCATAGACACACGCATTTTCGCTTTTCTAGTCATAACACTATTCAAACACTGTCTAAAAATGTCCATATTCAAATAGCAAAACAGGCCAAATGCTCCTCCCCAGACAGCAGATGAGTGAGTGAGTGGGTAAATGTTGGGACAAGGCTTCCGTTCTCTACGGTAGTGGCTCAGCATTGGGACAGGGTTCTTTGTGTGTTCTTCATGGCAGCGTTCCTGTATTCTCTGGCCGGATAAACGGAAGGTCAGAGAGTGAGATTAGCTCCAGCAAATCCCCACCTCACACTTCCCAACATGCCACCAAAAACCTCTCACACGCCAGACATGGCACACTACACACCACCTGCTCAACAGCGCACAGAGCACGCCAAAAAACCCTTATCTCACCGCCACACGCATGTGTGTAGCATGTTCAGCCAGCTAACGCTGCACCTGCTGGGTGCCGCCGCTCTCTCCGCTAAACAAGAGGAATTACACACTCACTTTGATCTAACTGCTCTCCTGATGATGAGCCTGCTGATCCAGGATCAGGACCGTCCTTTCCGCTCCTAATGAGGTGAACTACACTACTGAGAAAAACTGATCCTGAAGCAGCGCTCCTCTGAGCAGTGTGCCACTCGCGAAGCTTAGCAGGTGATATGGTTATGTACCCTATAACACAAGTCACCATTTTTAATAGTATAAAACCAACTTTGGTGCAAATACCAACTGTAAACAGTGAATGATGTAGATGATTCCATAGTCATAAGAGAAGCTGTATAACATCAAAATCAAGTTATAAAGTTATAATATAATTAACAGTCAGAACTCTCATATTTGAAAGGTGGTGATCAAATCTTGAGGCAGAGGACTTGACAATAATTTATTATAAACAGATCATTTTAGTTAATAATTATTTATCATTTCAGATTGTACTGTTTCAAAAAAATAATATAAATAGTAAATGAAAAATATCCTCTGGTGTCCATTATATAACATTTCAAAGTGCTCTGTATACTTGGCAAAAAACTTTGTTTTGCCATGTTTGAAAAATAATTCTTATTGCAGAAAAGATAGATGAATAAAATTATCATTAGCGTGATAAAACTTTAAACCGTAGTTTTGATATATAATGAATTCAGTCTATAGTAAATCTTCTCGACTGCAGTAAATCTTCTTGTTTTTAGTACATCGCGACATTATAAATGTTAAAAGGAGAACACTGACTCCGAGGGTGTGTCCAAAGCTGCATCCAACCAAACTAAATAGTATAACAAAACTACCACTTGACCACTTTTCGAAGCGCATACACTAATTATAGTATGTCTAGTGTAGTTATCAGATATCAATATGAGTCTATGCTATTTTGAACTAGTCCTTGTCAAGCTACGACCTCCTAGCAGTATAACTCCTCTCTCAGTGTGTGTAAAGCTGTAAAATGACACACTGCCCCCTACCTGTAATAAAACTCCACTTGATGTCTATTCATTGTGCCCACTACCACTATAAAACCTCACAACTACAGGTGAACCGGCTGAAGAACTGAATCTGAATTATCAAAGAAACGCACACAGAGCCGCAGAGAAGACACATAATCTGAACTGAGAGCAGAGCAAGATAACGGATGAGCGAGCGAGGAGAGAGAGAGATATTCTTAGAGCACTAAAACCTCACAATCACAACTTACTGAGAGAGAGGGAGAGAAGGAGAGAGAGACAGAGAGAGAGTGAGAGAGTGTGTGTGTGTGTATGTGTGTGTGTGTGTGTGTGTGTGTGTGTGTGTGTGTTACTCACTCTGAACAGCTTGTGTATCCGGGCTGTAGTAAATCTTCTCATTGCACATGTTCCCCTCACAACAACAGAAAAACACATCAGGGCTGTCCTTCCTCTCCACACACTCAGTGCTGCAGAAGAGAGAGAGACAATGGTGTGAGACAGAGAGACAATAACAGAGTCAGAGAGAGAGACAACAGAGAGACAATAACAGATACAGAGAGACAACAAAGAGAGAGAATAACAGATACAGAGAGACAACAAAGAGAGAGAATAGCAGACAACAGAGAGAAGAAGAAAGAGAAAGAATAGCAGACAACAGAGAGACAACAGAGAGAGAAAATAAGAGAAAGAGAGAAAATAACAGACAGAGAGACAACAGAGACAACAGAGAGAGAGAACAGCAGAGACAGAATAACAGACAGAGAGAGAATAAGAGACAGAGAGAGACGAGAAAATAACAGAGACAGAGACAACAGAGAGAGAAAATGACAGAGAGACAACAGAGAGAGAATAACAGAGACACAGAGAGACAACATACTGAGAATGATTGTTGGTACTGTTTTTCAGTGATTTCCAGTTATTTGCTCATTAGTGACTCTCAGACCAAAGACCAAAAACAACTCTACCTACATGCTCAACTACACAAACGTTTGTTTATATACTTTTCCAGGACGTGAGGTCATACATGTGTATGTATCTTTCAGTGTTAATGATGCCTCCACAGATGTGCAATACATCCCTGTACTATGGCAAACCTTTGCTTTTAAACTTTATGCTGGTAACAATCCCGATGGTCATTTTCTTCACACAACATCCCCCATTTCCATAAACTGAACATCTGAAATGTTGACAAAGGTCAGCACACATTTCCACAGTGAATTTCAGATGAGCCCAGAGAAGTTGGCAGCGTTTCTGGATGTTGTTGACATGTGACTTCCACTGTTCACAGTACAGTTTTAAATTGTATTTGTCGATGCAACAAATGGTGTTTAGTGGGGTTTAGTATCGTTACGGCTGACAGGCACAACAATGTTGAGCCAGCATCGTGATGCCACATCCCCACCACCCTCAACACCCTCTCCACCCCCACCTTAAAATGACAGCAGGATGCACCTTGCCTGCTATAATTTCAGTGTCTCTGATTTAATGTAGAAAACTATATTTAGCATTTATTACTCACCTGGAGAGCCAAACTGATGAGTATGTATTTTAAGGTGTGTTGAGTGCTACATGCACTGTGATGCTATATCATTTTTTTTTTAATTGCAGCCTGCTTGATTTTCTACGTTATGCCCCTTTAGGAGAAATCGTCCCACCCCTAGTGTTTACTGACAACGGTATCTCCAAGTATTCCCGAGTCCTAACTTTTCTGGAATTGTAGTTTTCCAACTACCTCAGTACAAAACACACACACACGATTCCATCTGTGACAGACAATTATGAACAGTTCAAGCCTCTACCCATTTAAAAATAAACAATGTGGTTTATCTTCAGTGAAGGGGCTTCCAAAGATGATTAACATCTAATGCAGTGATGCGTAAAAACACTTTGCTCCTGGGAGCACATCATGATGAGGTATAACATCACGAAACAATAAGAAAACCCACTCAAACCCTTTAAGACTTGCCGTGTTTGCTATATAAAACTTATGTTGCTGCTGTAGTATCAAATCAGAACGACAGAGTCAAAATGAATAAAATTAGTCTTCGCAGATTCACAGTCTCAGCCTCAGACAATTTGCCCACAGAGTTGCGTGGACCACTAGATACATACTGTACACATCAGAATTCTGTCAGTTTCAATCTGACTGCCTATCCACACTTCTTTGTGAGCACATTTTCATTGATTGTTTTAATCAAAGAGTGGCAAAACTTATCCCACTCTCCTTTGATACTGAACCTGACCTCAAAAACATATAAGTGACATCCACACAGCCTTTAGGTTGGCACTAGGCAATAATAAGAGGCTTCATTTAACTAGCATACCTGTCGTAACAGTTGACATCATCAAGCCAACAGCCCTGTTTGACGATCTCAATGGTTCCCGAGTTGTTCTTCCAGGTGGAGAAACAATGTCGCCGTTTATCTTTTTCTCCAGAACACGGCTCGATTCCGCTACGATTTGTCCGGTCTTTTTCCCAGCTCGCGTTGTAGAACACACACTCCTGGGTTTCTGAGCGGCCCAGGATGGCTCCTGTAAAAGAGAGTGAGAAGAGGTTGACTGTGCTGTGACTATCCTGACCAATCTTAGATGTTCTTTGGATGTTTCATTTTGGTCAAATTAATGCAGGCTGATCTTCAACCACATCATGTTGAGGGTTTAGCAATGTGTTTTTAGTATACTGGAAGTATACTGGATTTATACTGGAAGTATACTGGATTTTGTCAAGTTTCAACAAAAATCTAAACACCTTGGGAGCCACTTACGTCCGATTTATTGAAGCAACGTTTCACCATTTTGGCTGTAAATATGTCTCAGCTTTAAGCTTTAGCTCAGCTATAACTGCTTTTCTCGCATCTCCGGCAGGAAACTTTTCCACAAAAGTAGAACAGTTTTCTTGTAAAACGTCTCTTAATGTTCGACTTCTTACGCGGCTGAAATCAGCTTCTCATTCGCCAGCGTCTCGTTCAAATTTTCCCAAAGATACTTGCTAGGCGAGATTGCTGTCTATGTCGCTATGGTGACCAGCAGTCTACGCGCCAACCTTCAGGGTTAAAGGTTGAATTAGCAGATATGAGCTACATTAACTCCAGCGTTTAAGACCATTTATTGTTAAAACTGTGTTAGAATGATCAGCAGAGCTTTACTTTAATGCGAAGGAGGATTATTTTATTTTTATTAATTCTGCTGTGGAGCCGCAACAGGACAGTAAAAGAGCCCCATGTTGCTGACCTCTGCTCTAGGGTTACAAATGCAGTAAAATAAAATGCAGACATTTCTTGATTCATAATTTGCAGAACACAAGCGAGAGGGTCTAGAGAGGCCTATAAGAAAACACACACATAAAAAAGATCATCTTTGCCTGCTCTCCTCTGCCATACATCCACCTGCCAGCTGCACCTGAACCTCCTGCAGGACCGAATGTGACTCACGTGGCATTCTTTCAATCAGTTACTCACACACCCACACACCCACACCTGGCACTGGGCCGAGTACCAGTGTAATAGAGAGGAGGGTAAAGTCCGGCAGTGATGGCGCGGTGAGATCATACAACATATATAATGTGTAAACTAGCAAGATTTATTGTTCATTATAATAAAGTTTACTTTATGTGAAACACAAGTTTACTACCATTTGTTATGACAATCCATTTAAGTCCACTGCAAACTAATCTGTTCATAGTTCAAACACATCTTTTCCATGTCAACAAATCTAGAAGATTTCACAGATAAAAGGCTGCAAATGAATGAATTTCAGTAAAATAATGTTGACCATGTTTACATGGGTCGCCTAACACATATAAAGTAAATAAAATCAGTGACAATTTGGGCACAAATGGGTTAATTAACCCAGATATCAGACTGAGCACGAAAATGTGCTAATAAACCAACCATCCTTCACTAGACCTTACAAAAAATAATGCATTTACACATATCTGCCTATTCCAGCCTACAGCAGGTCAGCCATGCCCATGCACACTGAAGCTATAAGGAGCGTTTCAGCCCCAGACTGCTTTATGAATGAAGTACAATACAGAGAAGCCAATCAGAACAGAGCTCATTTACATACATCAGTCTTAAAGGCACAGTAACAAAATCAGCCTGTTTAATATAAAGGGATAAAAAGAGTTTGAAAAATGGTCACGTAAAAATAAACAAACTATTTTTGGTACAGAAACCCACACAAACATTATAACAGGAGATGTTAATCGTCTGTTTTCAATTCAGCTAACATTACTAACCTAGTCACATCATAACATCTCATCTCGTACCTTTTAGCTCGAAAACGGCGAGGTTGTGAAGAGTCAGTCCGCTGATACCAGACGAGACTCAATAAATGATGCTGAAATCTTAATTACATTAAATCTACAGCAAAACGCAAAATGAACACAAGCTTCTTATTCATCAGCACTTTCCTGTGACTCCTCTTATTCGCCATAGCTGTGGCTTTGTACCGTCAGTGCTGCTGTTCAGCAGTCTTTAGCTGCAGCAGCAGAGATTTTTCTTCAGACTAAACAGAAAACAACCTCTGACTAAAACACAAGATGCAGGCTTTTCACTGCTCTCTGGTGGAGCGTAGATTTCACACAACTCACGGTTCTTCGAAATGAGAACGTTTAAGGTTACAGAGAAGTTCATTTGCATGTAAAAATTAGATTTTTTAAAGCTTTCGTGACTGAAAAATCTGATATATCTGTAACAGATGGATAGACAGATGGATAGAAAGACCTGCTTTTTATTTTATTATTATTATTATTTTTTCCATCAGTTGAAATAACTTAGCTGCACTGCACTTTACATTGTGGTAAAAATCTTAGTACACACTTAAAAATGGTGGTTCCTCAAGGGTTCTTTAGTAAAGAAAATAGTTCTATATAGAACCATGAACACTCAAAGAACACTTTGCATGATTAAAGGGTTCTTCGCATCGTGAAATGTTTCTTTAGATCGATGAAGAATGTGTTGCATATGGATCTATTTAAAACCTTTTTGAAAAAGGGTTCTGTACAGCACCAAAAAAGGTTCTTCTATTGCTACAAGCTTGACAATATCGTAACAACAGAAGAACCCTTTTCGATGCTATATAGAACCCTTTTCAAAAAGACTCTATGTAGAACTATATACAGCACATTCGCCATCAAGCTGAAGAACTCATTTATGAACGCTTTCATGTCTGTGTGTTTATGGTTCTTTATAGAACCATTTTCTAAAGAACCCTTGAAGAACCTATTTGTGCGTACATTAAAAGTTAAGACTCCTTGTTTACTAAGAAACAATACAGGACAGCCAATCAGAACGGAGCTCATTTCTCTTATATCAGTCTTAAAGGCACAGTGACGAAAACAGCCTGTTGAATTTTTGAGGTTTGAATATGGTCATATAAAAGTGATCTGACCATTTTTGGTGCATAAAATCATACAAATGTTGGGGACCTCAGGGGAAAAAAGTAATATAAAAAAAAAAAAGAATATGGGCCCTTTAACATGTTTGAGACAGCGACACTGACAATATTTTAGGACTGAACTATAAAAAGGTGTAGATTTTACAGGACATGCATGTGACAAATTTCACCACTCTCTCTTTTTGCCAGACTGATTCTTTTTTCGTCTCACTCATTCTGCCTCTGATGTGGAGTGTCTTTAGTTCTGCCTCCATCTCATTTAAGCCCTCAAAAACATACAGCTGTGCCCAAACAGCCACGGACAGTTATTAATACGATTGTCCGAGTTTAAACAGGCAGTTTGCCATCGCTCTCTTACAGTCGCCCACAGAGCTAACACAAAATCATCACTCAAAAACATGAATGTAAACTGTGTCACACACCCGCCGCTCAAAGCCACGACTCACCCTTCGAACAGGAGAACACGTTCTATTCATTTCCCTGAATAAATAACAGCCCAGGTCAAAGTGGGGCTAAACAAACAGAGAGCGAGAACAGCAACAGAAGTGCTTCATCATCATCACCATCAATCTGCAGAGAGAATACGGTACGTTCACCTCTGCATAAACATGCCAACGGACACACCTGAGAAACCTGCACACACACAAACATACACCTTATCCACCTACACACTGTTGCACAACCTCTGGATCTGAGCCTAGAAACTTCCGGCCACGCCTCCAGACGTCTCTGAACATCACGCTCACTTGCGGCTAAACAGGAAATCGCTATTAATTGTATTAGTAATGAAATAATCTATCAATTTTTTTGACGATTCATGAAGATAACGAAGGGGTAGACAGATATAAAAGTTTGCACTGCCCACTTGGGCCACTAAGTCAATGAATCTTGTGGCTAAAATGAACAATTTGTGGCCAAAATTATAGAAAAATATACCGTATATAAGTTGTGTTTCAGTTCAGAAACATGCTGAAGTACCAAAAACATTAACATTAATAAGAACACGGACATCATGTTAGCTATTGTCGTTATAATTGGGCAATTCCGACAAAATCTGATTCAATGTAACTGGTTCCATGTCCAAACAAACAGGCTCTGTATGGAAATCTGCACGCTTTGTCCCGCTCCCACCCGCAGACCTGTATAACTTCCATCTGTGTTAAGCTGGGGATACACTACACAACTTCTACCCCGATTTTAGCCCTGATTCTCAGTCTGGCTGAATCTGCGCTGGCTGGCTCTAGTCTGCAGATTTTGGGTCAGTCAGAGTCGACGGTTGGAGAGAGAACAGAGTAGTCCGTGAGGGGCGCAGACTCCAATTATTGTCCTCCCAACCAGACCAGTCAGAGTTTATCAAACGTTTGATTTTTTTCGACCCGACTCTTGAGCATAATCTAGTGTAAACTGGTCAACGACTCAATCTCCTGCAACAGCCAATGAAAACAGAGTGAGAAAGGCAACATACAGCAAGGAAACAAAGATGAGGAGTGAAGCTTTTTAATCAGCTGAGTTTAAGACACGAGCACAATCGAGTTTATGTACATTTAAAACTCTAAAAATACCCACTGATCACATTTTTAAATCCATGAGCCTCATTTAAACATGTTCACCTGCTGATTCTTTAATGTTTCACTGCAAACAGCAGAGAAAACAGCAGCTCCACGTTTGTTTATTTGGGTCTCCTAGTTACGGGAGAACGTAAGAGTTAGCTTGAGTTAGCGCGAGTTCAGCAACAGCTTAAAACTTGTGCAGTTTGTGATCCCCAATATTTCAGTCTCCCAAAAAATCTGCAAAAAACAGTCAGGTAGTGTGAGATGCCCAGTCTTTTTATAATGTGTTAAGACTTTAAACGTCGTGTAGTCGTGTACCCAAGACTTTAATCATGATTAAAAATGACTGCCATACGTCAGACTTGCCTTTATTCTGCTTTATTGTCATTTATTCGCCTTTATTTAGAAAATGGCTCGGCCATTTCTGCAGCCTACAAGAAAGCAATTCATGTGACCGTTCACGTAATTGGTTACTTCTACTTAGAACTAGTTTAGGACTTATTTACAATAAGTTTATTACTTTTTGTTATATTGCTGCCAGATATTATTTACATATGCTCATTTTTACATGATTGTTCTCAG